TGGCTCTTTTATGACTCGTGGACTTCAACTCCCAGAATTCCCGAGCCAGGAGTTGAAGTCCACGAGTCATAAAAGAGCCAAGGTTGCCTACCCCTGCCCTACACAAAAGAGAATCAAGGTAGGGAAATCTTAAGTTACTTCCTCACGCTTTCCTGTTCATACTTTACTAACGTTTGCTCCTTAGTTTCTCCAAGGTCATCCCTGTTTCTTCTATATCTGGCTACCACGTGGCTGTGTGCCTTGAAGTCAGTTGTTGAGTCCAGGCAACTGCTTGGACTAGTCTCTGCAGTTTCCTTTCCAAGATTTTTGGAAGACATTCGCCATTATCTTCCCCCTAGGACTGAGGGAAAAAATGACTGGTTCAAGGTCACCCAGTTGGCTTTGGGTCTAATATGGGACTAAAACTCCCAGAATCTAGCTGGATGCCTTCACCACTACACCAAACTGGTCACCATACAGTCTGTATAGGCCACTTATATCATACGTGTAGAAAAGTCAGGATAACCCTGAAGACCAATTCCCATTTCATTTCATTCCTATGTTCTATGTCAGGGGTCCCCAACCCTCGGTCCATGGACCGGCACCCATCCGTGCCAGAAACCAGTCCGTGCAAACAAGCGAAGCTCCATCCGCAGGATGAAGGCAGCACGCAAAACCACGTCCCCTCCGGTTTGCGGAAAAACCTCTCTCCACGGAACCAGTCCCTGGCGCCCAAACGGTTGGGGACCTCTGTTGTATGTTATATATCCTTACGTTGTATGTTGCTTTATTACCAAGTGATGCTCACCCCCAAAATGCAGATGGCCAAGAGATGGCGGCAAAGAGCTGCAGACACCTTAACTCTCTGCTGCCATCTAGTGGTCATCTGGAAAGTTCTCAGCCAGTTAGAGCAGAGGTGTCTCTTGCCTATTGCTCACCCACATTGCCTCTTATGGGAACAATCCAGGCTAGAGCTAAGTCCTGATCGTGCTAAGGGTTTCATGAACTGCCCTCCCTTCCCAAGCCTCCTAATTCTAACACCAATTCCATTCTTAAGCAACATAAGATCTATTTCTCCATAGTCTTCGGCATCTGGTTAGATAAAGGCTATTATCTTCCTAAACAGTGGGAGGGTTGATGTACAAGGGGAGAACCAACAAAGAGGATTTTGTGCACTTGGCGCCAACTCTAGCCTGCTGGTGGGGTTGTGTTACAGCCAGCACTTCGGCAGTAGTTTGTTTTCTTCCCGAAGCAACCAACAGTGTGGGGATTGTTGTGCGTGGGGATTGTTGTGCAGCAGGGGTGAGCAGATTCTCCTCTGTCCCTCCTTTGTTCCTGGATCTCAGTGCCAGTGGGGGCTGATGAGTGGGCCTCTGCCCCTCCCTCTTTCTTTTCCCTTTGGGTCCTGCAGCCGGTGAGAAGAATTGCCAATGCAGCCTCAGGAAAACAACAGCTACAGGGAGAATAACCTGGCTGCCAAGACTGCCACCGAATCTGGCCGAGGCTGCGGGTGCCCTAATTGTTCACTTTCCTTTTTTTTCTAGCTGATTCCAAGTGGAATTACTATCCGAGCGGAATTCCTCTTTGTGTCGAAAGGATACAGCTCGCCACAAAGGGCAGGTAGCGAGCCTTGTCCGTCGTGCTTGAATAAAAGGGCCACATTTTGTTTTCCAGCTTTACAAGGAATCAGTGTGCTTGCGTTTGCCAGCCTTCTTTTCTGCAACGATTGGGCGGGGGAAATGTCAGTCAAACGGTGACAATGCAGAGCCCCTCCTCCGAATTTATATTCCCAAGGAGGAGGAGTCTTGCATTGCCAAGCGTTGATTGGCAGTTCTACCGCACTCTCCTCCCTTCCTCCAGTTTCCAGTGTCGCTGATACAAAGGGACATCAGTTGTCTTTGCCTCTTCCTGCACACGCTGTTCAATCACAACGGGAAGGGTGGAGAGAACCGTATTCTCCAGCCCGGCCCCGACAAGGGTGAGACTGGAATTCCTGAAATAACATGAACTGGGAATCCTGAGCCTGGAAATTCTAAACCTTCACAAAAGAGGTTGTGAAGACACAAATATTTGTTGTCTTTTGCCGAATGACATTGACACACAGGATACGATCTTGGCTTCTGTTGCACAAGATGGCGGGCAATAGTCCTTTCTGATATCAGGAACAACGTAATTTAAAAGAAGCAGGTGGTTAAAATTTCTCCAAATCAACCAGATCAAAGTATGCTCCTGATGGATGTTTATTGAAATGTTGATCCTCAATGAGATGGGTGTAGTTTTTTGTCCCTCCCCCCCAAACTCTGCCCTTTGCGGCCTTCTTCCTTCTGAGATCTGACAGGCTCCTGTTCTCCTGCTTTCCCAAAAGCTTTAAACACCTATTTTTTCCAACAAATCATGGGTTGGTATAAGCTTGGAAGCGCCGCAGTTTGCAGAGTTCTTGGTTGTTTTCTTGCAAATGCTTCATTATCCAACTAAAAGCCTACCACCATCTAGCACTGATGATATTACCTAGTTGGGTCATGAAACGTCTGCAAGAAAAAACAGAGAGCACCAAGGACCCCACAGTTCCACCCTGAGCTAAAAAAAAAATCATTTCTGTTGGTGCTGTACAATTTGTTGGGTATGTGGAGATGTGTTGTGCTTGGGAACTAGGAAGGGTTTATTTGCTGGTTTGTTTTTAATTCATTTTGGGAGTTCTGGGGTGGCTTTTATGCTTTTTGCTATTTTTATTGTTTTGTGCTTATGAGCCTCTCTGGCCCACGCAAATCTTTTTAAATAAATAAACAACGAGACGATTTAGTGAGCATGGACCTGCTTATTAAAAACATTATTTTTGAAGGAAGCCTTCTTCAGACTACTCTAAGCGAAAGTGAAAAAAAAGGAGCTTGCCACTGTAAAAATGGAATAAAATCCCAATTTTGGAAAAGGCATTTTAGTTACCTCTTTGGACTCTGAGCTGTTTTCTTTCCTTCCTTCCTTCCTTCCTTCCTTCCTTCCTTCCTTCCTTCCTTCCTTCCTTCCTTCCTTCCTTCCTTCCTTCCTTCCTTCCTTTCTTTCTTTCTTTCTTTCTTTCTTTTTTTTAGAATGAAATTCCAGCCTTACTGTTTGATATAGTGGTGGGTGCTGCAGTTGTATTGTTAAGCAATTGTATCATTATTATTGTTATGTCATACTAGTCAGGAAATGGCTGCTTGCTGTTTGTAACAAAACACTTTTAAAAAGCACCGAGCCATCGAAAATTTCCTCTCCTTTTTAAACCCTTTGCAATTCTTTTCATCTTTGGGGATAAACAACATGCCGCAAACATGTTGCTAGTCCTTGATCATTTCCTAGCAATTTTATATTTAGTTTAGCCTTTTCCCACAAGAATTTAGCAGTTTGTCCAAAGCTTCATGTTTAATGGGGTGGGTGAACCAGATCTTCCCAGTCTCGTCTGAAACTGTAGCTCTTGCATCACATATTCTTGGAATTGTGGGAATAAAATCAAGGGAAGACCCCATAGGGACTGTCTAGACTAGTTTTCAAGTTGGGGAAATGAACAGGTATGAACATGAGATACCCTGTTTTGGGATTATTGTTTAGAAGGAAAGAATGGAATGGAATGGAATCCAGGCTTATAAATAAAAATAGTCCTCTTTTCCTTTAACTAATCCTACAGGAAGTCTTTTATCTATACAAGATTTGGGCACTTTTTCTCTTGAAGGCTTCTAGGCCCAATTCATACTTCTGGTTACTGTCTATAAAGGTTTGTGTTTTTCCAAACTTGGCAACTTTAAGATGTCTGGCCTTCAATTCCCAGTGAATTGAAGGGAATTATGGGAGTTGAAGCCTACGTATCTTAAAATTGCAAGTTTGAAAGGGTGCCTTAAGGACCCCTGGATCCAAGCAGAATCCGTTCCTCCTATTAAGACATCATTCAAGGCCATTCAAGACAAAGAGAGATAGTTCAGAGAAGACAAGTCCTTGGCCATGACCATCTATTGAAGCTTTGCCCATGTGAAGGGTGTGGAGCTGACCTTGGCCAACTGTTAAGAAAGAATTTTGAGAAAAGATTAGACAGTGCTGAGAAAGAAGGAAGCTTGAGAAAGAAACTTAAAGGTAATCCTGCCTTGATTTTGTTCAGAGGGGACAGAGAGAGAAACCTGGACAGGTTCTCAAGGTGGATGGTAACCTGCGAAGTAGACCGAGTCACAGAGCAGCCATGACAGGGATCCCAAGCATTGTTTTAGCGTAGAATAATAGAATCTTACTTATTTATTCAGTTTCTTTCTTGATCAACTCAAAGCGGCAAAGAGCCATGGTAGCACAGTGGTGAGAATGCAGTATCGCAGGCTAACTCTGCCCACTGACAGGAGTTCGATCCTGACTGGGTCAAGATTGACTCAGCCTTCCATCCTTCCAAGGTCGGTAAAATGAGGACCCAGATTGTTGGGGGCGATAGGCTGACTGTGTAAACCGCTGAGGGCTGTAAAGCACTACAAAGCGGTATATAAGTCTAAGTGCTATTCTATTGCAGGCTAATTCTGCCCACTGACAGGAGTTCGATCTTGACCAGCTCAAGGTTGACTCCGCCTTCCATCCTTCCGAGGTCGGTAAAATGAGGATCCAGATTGTTGGAGGGACAATAGGCTGACTCTGAAAACCATTTAGAGAGGGCTGTAAAGCACTGTGAAGCGGTATATACATCTAAGGGCTAGTACTAGTGCTATTCATAATCTGATGTGCCCACTTCCTGTTTTCTCACAACAAATACCTTGTGATGTAGGTTGAGTTTGAGAGAGAGGGACTGATCCAAAATCATCTAGCTGACGTTCGTCCCTACGGATGGGCTAGAACTTAGAGTCTCCCAGGTTTAGCCTAGCGCCTTTGCTGCTACACCCAAGCGGTTCTCAATTTTGGTGTCTACCCTGAACCTTCACTTGAACAGCGCTTCCCATTGTCCATTGATCTCTATGCTCTTTGAGCAGTTTTTTTTTAACTGGACATTTATTGATGGATCATTCTTTCTCTTTGACTGACAGATTGATGAACTCCCAGAGGGAGCTGTGAAGCCTCCAGCAAATAAATACCCCATTTTCTTTTTTGGGACTCATGAAACGTAAGTGAGCAAATTCTGTAGACCATTTTAAGAGGTTCTGATGTTTAAGCTTATTTGTGTATTTATTTATTAAGATTTATTTGCCGCCCATCCCATTGCGAAGCATATCCATCCATCCCTTGTGCCCACAATTAAAAATGACAATAAAAGTTATCTATCTATCTATCTATCTATCTATCTATCTATCTATCTATCTATCTATCTATCTATCTATCTATCTATCATCTATCTATCTATCTATCTATCTATCTATCTATCTATCTATCTATCTATCTATCTATCTATCTAATCTATCTATCTATCTATCTATCTATCTATCTATCTATCTATCTATCTATCTACAGACCGGAAGTCGGGGACCCCTGTTCTAAGTGTTGGGAGGAAGGGATATGATTATTAGCTACGTAATTTGCCCCTTTAATAATCTTTTTCTTAATGGTTATCGGGTGACTTCTCTTCCCAAATGGAGGAGGTTTTAACGACCTGTTTCCTGCCATTGCAGTATTTTCCGCTTTTCATTTTTTATGGTAACATAGGAAAAGCAAAAATAATAATAATGATGATAATAATAATGCAAGGAAACCCATAATTATAGCCCTTCTGTTCCCTTCCCCATCTGAAAAGACAGAGAGCAATTAAGAGAGTATGCATTAATTCAGCAGGTCAGACCTTCAGATCCAGGAAATTTAATACATTGTGGGGGGGAGTGGGGAGTGGAGAATTGAATGAGGCTTTAAAAAAAAAACAGTGTGGAAGGATATTGGTCATCCCCATTACTTAAGGGAAAAGCGTGCATTTGCAAACCAGCTGATTGCATCCGATGACGCGAGCTGGCAGTCAGGAAAGCTTACGCTTTTTCGTAAGAGGCCTTAGAGAAGATGCTACCAGACTCTTGATTTTTGCCACCGCAGAAGCAAAACTCTCTTCTTCTCAAAGTGCAGCAGTTCAGAAGTAAAGTGTGAACGCAGCCCTCGCATAGCCTGTCACAAAAACACCTTGCAGCTAAAGGAAAAGGTCAAAGACAGGATAGTCCCTCAGCACAGCATCAACACACCGTTCTGCCTTTCTGCGGCGGCCGATGGCTTCTCTGCCTGCGGAGTCACGACTGTTTCCTTGGCAGCTGTGGAGGAGACACTTTCATATAGGACTTGATTGGCAAAAATGGACCATGCCTCATGAGTCACCAGACAAACACTGCTCACCAATCACGACACCGTCGAGATTAAACATTGTAGCTGCCTGATCAGACGCCAGATGTGGAGCCCTTCCGGGATTCTCAGCTGGAGGATTCTGGGTGTTGAAGTCCTCACAGCTGGACGTTGATCTCAAAAGTGGGGTGTTTCTCAGCTGCTCCTTCTGAAGACGCAGCCTTCTAAGATCTCATATAACCAGACAGCAAGGTTCACAGGCCACGTGGAGGAAACCAGGATTCCATAGAATTCTGTCGTTGTGAGGTGCCTTCTGCTTTTGCAGCCCGCCTTTGATCTGCAGCTGGAACAGATTCAGCAGAAGGTGTGATTTCAAACAACCTGCAAGATGCCAAGAAAGCCAGCTGGGTGTAGCCGTGAAGGCGTCAGGCTAGAAACCGGGAGACTGTGAGTTCTAGTCCTACCTGAGGCATGAAGCCAGTTGGGTCGCCTTGGGCCAGTCACCTCTTCCCAGTCCTGTGAAGGAGGCCATGGCAAACCACTTCTCAAAAACCTTGCCAAGAAAACCTCAGGGATTTCTCCAGGCAGTCCCTGAGATTTGGACATGATTGAATACAAGAGAGAGTAAAAAAAAATATCTCAAACAATTCATAAGAAGCCAAGAATAAATTTTAGTGAATGATCCTGAGGGGGGGGGGGAAGGGGGAGGAAGCAACAACAGTAAGCAAGAGTGCAGAACTTGGAGCTCTCCAGATGTCGCTTCTCTGCAGCTCCCAATTTCCTTCAGTTCATGTGATCATAAATCAGTACGCCAGATCCTGGTTTCCTTTGGATAACAAGAAACCAGCTGGACTGCATGCCAGAAGCTTGGAGAAAAATCTATATATACAACCAGGTCGTATTTCGACAATTATTCTTGATTGAAGAGGGCTATCGCTTCTCCCCTTTTTTGTCTTCTAAAAAATGCACAAAGAGGAGATGTTTCTGAAAAGGCAGAGATTGCGTTCTCTTCCCTGGTGAAGAACGGCAGGGGAAGGGCAGGGGGTCAGCAAAACGTGCTGTGTCTTCCTAGCCAAAGTGATGACACGAACACAGTGCTGTGTGATGGAACAGTGTGTTGCCGTAAAGTTGGCAAGTGCCTTCTTTCTCTTCACCACAGGAGGGCAGGTCCTGCTAAACTTTTAACCGCAAGACAACTGCTGTTGTTTACAGGAAAAGAAACGGTGAACAACACAACTACAACCTTTATATATTCAGGAAATGCATTTCTCTCCGTTATGTTGATGAGAGCACAATTTGAGAGCGTTTGTAGTATTTGTAAGATGTCAGACATTCAGCCTGGTGGCAGCAGAGAAATGAACTAGCCACAAAGTAGTGTGTGGCCAAATGATGCGCCACAGGAGCTAGTGTACCAATGATGCAGTAACCCAAGATGTAGGATCAATTCATGTCCCCAAGACGTGATTGGTGAAATTCTGGGATAAACTAATGTATACGTCCTACCGAAAATGTCTTGCAACTCAACTATCAGGTGCAAGAAATCAGGAATCGGGGCTGTTCAAATGAGTACAAGTTTATTCCATGCTAGCTCCATACAAGAATTTGAACTACTAACGGTCAAGGCAAATTGGTAGTGGATAGGAGTCAATGAATTCGAGGTGGCCTGGAGTCATATCTCTTGTGGGTATGAAGGGACTCCAAAATGATGACGTGCTTGACCCCTCCCTCGGGCTCAGCCTGATCATTTCCTGCATCACAGCATCGACAGCAGCAAGGACTAAACGTGTCATTCGCCACCCCGTGTTTTTTTTTAAATATTTTTTTATTTTTTAAACCAACAAAACAAAACAAAACATAACACACATACACACACAGTATATACTCCTCCCTTTTTTTTAACAGCGATTTTGTAACGGTAATCTTCTATTATTTACATTTCCCCCCCTTATTCTTCTTTAGAATATTTGTCCTTGTTGCCCCGTTGTTTCTTATTTGCATTTTTCTTCCTTCATGCTATACTTCATACTAAGAATGATACATATTATTATTACTATACATTATTATACACACATTTTCCACTTTTGACCTTTCCACATTTATTCTCCTCTATTATTTCTAGTCTCCAACCAGTCATACCACTTGTTCCATATTAGATAGTACTCTGTGTCTTCCTTTTCTTTTATCTCTTTTGTTAATTTGTCCATCTCAGCACAGTCCAGGATTTTTCTTATCACTTCTTCCTCTGATGGTATATTCTCATTTTTCCAGAACTGTGCGTCGCCACCCCGTGACATGAGTGATTCAAAGTCAGGGCCAAATTAGATTGTGTTATACCAGCAGTTAGCAATTATGTAAATGGTTAAAAAAAACAACACAACTTGTAAGCCCAGGGCTTTGAAATGCTGCTGTAGAGAACTGGGCTCTCTTTATAGACCTGGCATAATTTGGAGAGGTGTGATGATTGTGTAGATAAGCTTTATGTCTATGGAGATTCTCGGTCCTCCAGGTCATGGTTGTCCCAAAGGTGCTTTTTCAAGAGACGACTGGACTTCCTTTGTTTTTCTTTGAAGACGTTCCGCTTCTCATCCAAGAAGTTTCTTCAGCTCTAACCGGATGGTGGAGAATGGAAGGATTTATGCTCCTTGCAGACAGCTGATCATTTGCATTCTTTTAGAGAGTCATTGAGGCCACTTGGAGGTTTGTCTGTGTCCTCCGGGTCACCTAAGTGGTGCAAATGTCTATGAAGACTGCAGCCACTTACAAATTGGGATTACAGAAGAGGACAATGTTGGCTAATCTCAAAATTATGGCTGGTTGGTGGCTGAATGGTAGGGACTCTCTGGTCTGCAACTGTGGAAGAAAACACTTTAATATAATTTCCCCCAGATCTACAAGAACGTGCTGCTGTAGCCACCAAGAATCAAGCTCAGATTGTCTTTTCCATCCCACCAACATTCTAATATGGATAGGTATCTTTTGGTCTTCTCCCCTGGAGAATCCTTGTCTATGCTGATATTATAAATCTCCCAGAATTCCCCAGTCAACGTGGCCATGTTGGATTGGTGTGTGTGTGTCACAGAATATGTCTGGAGTGTGCAAAGTGGGGGAAAGCTGATATTTGAATGGGGAAAAAACAACAACGGCAGATGTTATATTTTTCCTCTGAAGGCCACCAAGGGTTTCATCTTTCAAAGGTCTAACCACAGATTTAAGTGATGAGGTGGCGTTCACACACCATGGTTTGATGTGGTATCTGAACCGAGCCACAGTCAGTCTAGGCAACAAAAGGGGATTTATCTGCCATTTTCCTCTAGTTAATGAATAACACATGTCTGTAGAAGATATGGATTATAATAATTTGCTCAACCATTTGATTCTATCCTTTTTTTTTCTCAACTACAGGGCATTTCTGGGGCCTAAAGACCTCTTCCCTTACAAAGAATATAAAGACAAGTTTGGAAAATCAAACAAACGAAAAGGGTTTAATGAAGGCCTGTGGGAAATTGAAAACAACCCCGGGGTCAAGTTTAGTGGATACCAGGTAAAAATGGACTTCCTTTTTTTTCCTTTTAACCCCACCACCCCCACCACTATTTCCTTTTGTCAATATGTGATAGTGACAACAGAAAGCAAGACTTATGTGGCCAGAACTTTTGGGGTTTGAGCTGTTCTCTTGTGAGATTTTTGCCTAAGCAGTGTGGGTTAAAAAGACACAAAGATGACTAAGTAGGATTTTATACAACTGGAGAAAGGATCTTACCGGACATGTTGCTATCTACCACCCGTTGTGTATGGAGCATGATTGAGTTGTGATATAAGGGAAAGCACGCACCTTCTTCAAGTTGCGTCATTGATATAAAGGTTGTCCTCAACTTACAAACATTTACTTAATGACTCTTTGAAATTACTACGGCAGTGGGGAAAAAAGGGATTTATGATCATTTTTCACACTTTTGCAATATCCCCGTGGTCACATGATCAAAATTCAGACACTTGGCAACTGGCCTATTCTTATATATACATATACATAATGGTTAAAAATAACACTGAAGACAAACGAGTGACTCCTGGGTATATCCATAGTAGGAAACAAAATGTGAGCACCAGGAGGTTGTACATATATACATAAATATATATTATTGGGTTTTATAAGGATAGGAAAGGGATGGGATCAGTAGGGGTGTAGGAAGGGGTAAACGTAGGGGAATTGGGAATGGGTACAGTGATGGGGTTACCCCCAGCAAAAAATCCACGCTTAACAAGCAAGTTACCGTCCGGGTACCAAAATCAAATAAACATCACTTATATAATACTAAGCAATTATAATAAACTGAGTTAACAATAATCATAAGAATAAAAGATAGTAAATAAATATTATTCATCGGCAACTGGCCTGTCTTTATGACGGTGGCTGTGTCCCAGGGTCATGTGATCCTGGACTGTTACCAAGCAAAACCTAGCTGAAGTCTAATTATTGGCTTTATTTCCAAGGCTATTCAGCAACAGAGCTCCTCAGAAACCGAAGGCGAAGGAGGAAACACGGCAGATGCTAGCAGTGAGGAAGAAGGGGATCGGGTAGAAGAAGATGGAAAAGGCAAAAGGAAGAACGAAAAAGCGGGCTCAAAACGGAAAAAATCTTACACTTCAAAGGTAACGCATGAAGTTCTCACTGATGACCTGGAGCGGTTTTGATTCGTAGCAGGAGTCTCCAACCTTGGCAACTTTACGACTTACGGATTTCCACTCCCAGAAGTCCTCAACCAGCCATGCTGGGAGTTGAAGTCCACAAGTCTTAAAGTTGTCAAGGTTGGAGACTCCTGAGCTATAGAATGTTTCCTTAACTGCCTTTAAGTCAAGGATGAGTTTTTTTAAAAAAAAAAATCTGCTTTCCAGAATTGTTCTTCAACTTGCCAAAGTGTGTAATTTTTGCCTGTGACTATAGAAGAAAAATAAATAAAGAAAACACAGTCAGGGTTAAGGTTGGCCACGTCACAATCCTAATTCATCCTAATCTTCATTTCTGTAGAACACACAATTATTCACGGATTCTTAACCTCAGGAAATAGTAAGCGCAATGATATATAAACATGCCACGAGGTTTGAAAAAGGACACTCAGATCTGTAAATCTAAGTGGAGGGAAGGCATTTAGGAAGGGAAGGTATGGAACAATTAAGAATCAAGATCCTTTTCTATCACAGGAAACAAATCAGTGCATTTGCAACTAAACCCAAGAAGAGTCATCTTGATACTCTTACCAAAACTTTACAATTGACTAATACTAAGCTACATAGCTTGGGCAAAAGTTTGGTTTCACTTTTTTTGTTTCCCCCTTGATGAATGCCCCTAGAAATCTTCCAAGCAGTCAAGAAAATCTCCCGGAGACGAAGATGATAAGGATTGCAAAGAGGAAGAAAATAAGAGCAGTTCTGATGCCGGCGAAGCAGGCAACGACACACGAAACACTTCTTCAGACTTGCAGAAAACTAGTGAAGGGGTAAGGCTTAGGAACTAGATCTTCAGAAGCTGTGTGTGATTTTAAATAGATATGTGGGGAGGCGGGGAGGGATCCATGTGTCTTTTTTCAACCCGGTACAACTTACAGCGAGCTATGATCCCCAAATTCCACAGCCAGCCTGACTGTTGGATATGTCACTTGATCCATCTAAAAGGGCAACCTCAACACATCTTAGAAACACTGAGATAAGGAAGATAGAAAGGCAGGCAGAGTCCTGGCCTAAGTTGCAGAGCAGCGTGGCATCAAGCTCGATGGGAATATGTCCAAAAGCAAGATTTTCCCATAGTTTTCTTTAACTAGATTTATTCAAATGGATTACATTTCAGAAACTTCACTTTACTGGATAGTTTTTACTTTCAGGAGCCATCTCCCAGGCTCAAGAACTTTTTCAGCCTCTCAACTGTGATCTCCCGGTCATCTGGTCAAAAGGTCCTTTTTTTAACCCATTAAGAAGAACGTCCAGATGTCCAGAGTAGTTTCTGAACCTGCCACTGCACGCAGTGGCATTGGCTGTTCTTGAAATTTGAGACTTTGGACAGTTAGAGTCCTCTCCCAGTAGCTTCTCACTACTTCTTAAAAACTGAATTCTAGTTATTTCCCTGGTACGTTTGGTGTTCTGGTTAGTTGCTTACTTTAACTAATCTACTTAAACCTGGCTTTACAAACCAGGGCTTGTATTAACTATGTTTTTTTTTAATATTTGAATGGGCTCAGACTGGATTGTTTGTACTTTCCCCATCTCTGCTGGGTACCGTCAGAAGGAAAGGGAATTGAGTCAGACAAGCCATAGTTACTCTGCTGTCCGCAATATGGCTTCTGGCTTGTTCCTAAATGTTGATAGAGATTCTTAGTCATCCAGATCATGGCTTTTTTCAAGAGGCCACTGGGCTTTCTTTATTTTTCCTTGAAGACATTTCGTTTCTCCTCCAAGAAGCTTCTTCGGTGGCAACGTTAAAATTGAACAACCGTCTCTCAACAGAGGGGGAGGGATACGACACCACCTACCTCCTGTCAACAACACGGTCCTTACGGCAGTTCCAAGAAGGTTCCACACCCATTTGCAGATGATCTTGAGGGCACAGACAAACCTCCAAGTGGCCTCAACAACTTTCAGAAAGAGTGTTAAGGACCAGATGACTGCAAGGAATATAAATCCTTCCCTTCCCCACCATTCAGTCAGATCGGAAGAAGCTTTTTGGATGAGAAGCGAAACATCTTCAGGGAAAAACCAAGAAAGTCCAGTTGCTCTTGGAAAAAACACCTTTGGGATGGCTTGTTCCTAACTTGTTCAACAAGTTACGTTTTCTTTTGTATGAATGCCTCCACTGTTGATGGAATCATTTTCAGTCTGAAAAAATGATCCCTCTTTGTCTTCTTATTTCTTCCTAGACTTAACCAACATAATGACTGCTGCATATTAAGGGAAGACACAAGAAAGTCACATGTCTAATATTCTTGGATTTGATTGAAGTCAGCACATCTCTTCATCAGCAGCATCTATGTTTGTATGCACATTTAGCCACATTCCTACCCATTCTGTTCTCAGCAGCAACTTTCAGCATCATCCCCCATCGACACCCCACAAGGTCCTTTTTCTAAATGTCATTTTATTTAATTGCACCAAAAGGCTCTTTTCAAGCAAGACCCATACCGACAACGGCCATTTTTAGATACTTCTTTTTCTTCTTCTTTTTTTTTTTTTAACAGAAAAAGCAGAGCAAAAATCTCTAAATTTGAAATCGAATCTTAAAAACTGCCTTTTAGAGAATACAAATTAAACACTTAGAAATGAACGCCCTCTCCTAAAAAGCCACAAGGATCTCTGGTCTGCTTAACAAATCATGAAGTTTTAAATTAACCCTTTATCCATTTGTTGTTCTGCATTTTTTTTTTTAAAAAAGGATTTTAAAAACAGAGATGGCCAACTAGCAAGTGAGAAATGCTGGCTGTCTTGAGCAATTTTATCCTCACTGATGTCCAGCTGGTTTTTTTTGGGTTTTTTTAGCAGATTTGCTCACATTTTCATTTTGAGGGGGGGGAAGGAGGGGGGAACGTATTTTCAGCTTGCAAGAAAAAGGTCCCCATCTCTCCTTGGATTTTGTATGCATTATGTAAATGTACATATTTTGTATGTAGAGCAATGTGGACCTCCAAAATATGAAATGAAGATTCCATCACATTTATAGATCATTGAATTCACCGTGGCAAAAAAAAAAATAATATATTCCTGCAGTCCACTTTTTAACTTCTGTCTGGAAATTAAATTGTTTCTCACCTACCAGGGTTATAGAAATTGGCCATCTCTGTTTTTAAATCCTAACAAAATGTCCTTGATTTATTGTCATTATAAAAAAAAGTCAATAATTGTAAGAAAGTACCTTTCCTTATTAGAACCCTCTAGCTTAGCTATACTCTTAATACTTTTCAAGATCATGACGTAACGTAAGTTTCTCTAACTTAGTTCCTATATGTGGAGTTAGTGAAAGTCTTTTGTGTTTCTTTAGATGAATAACAAGGAACTTTTTTTTTTCCAGGCCCCCATACAAATCGGAGTTTACTGTGTTTTGGGGACGCCTTCCATTTTTAAGCTTAATTGTGCTACCGAAAGGCCATTGGGAAACAAAGCCAAAACATCCAGTTAAAATATAAGAATAACAGTTATACTGAAAAGCTTAAAAAACAAAAAAAGGGGGGGGAAATCCCCTGTCATTTTTCTGGTTTTTTTTTTCTACTCTCAAAACTAGATCTAGACTAGTAGGTAAGCATTCCAGAATCCATTATTCTGTGTACATTATTGTTGCTATTGTGAGAATAGAGGATTTTATTTATTTTTTAATGCCAGCTTTTATTGTGAAGACATAATGGGTTTAGTCCGGTTTTATCAACCCTTGTTATGCTTGTCCTTGGACCATCTTTTGCGTACTCAAGGTTTGTAGTTGAAAAGTTTACTGTACAAAAAAAAAAAAAGGAAAAAAAATCAAAAAAACAAAAAAACTATTGTTTTTACAGAATAAATTTATTGGAATGTGTATCGGGAGTAAGGTTTGAGGTTGTAAGCAGCTGAGTTAGCGTCATATTTGGCTTCATAACGTGTAATGTGAGGTATTCATGTAACTCGAGTATTAAAGCAACGCATTCTGTTAACACTTGAGTTGGTTATAATAGAACACCAATGCAGAGGGAAGCTTTCTTGTGTCGCTCCCACGGCTTTGATTTGTGGCTGTTGTGCTGAATCTGAAATTCGGAGGCTGTCTGTCTGCAAATGGCCGACAAAACGAGGTGGCGGAGTGATTAGAATTCAGTACTACAGGAGTTCGATTCCCTCAATTGAGGTTGACTCGGCTTTTCATCCTTCCGAGGTCGGTAAAATGAGGACCCAGATTGTTTGGGGGCAAGTGGCTGATTCTGTAAACCGCTTAGGGAGGGCTGTAAAGCACTGTGAAGCGGTATATAAGTGCTATTGCTATGCTAAACCTTCACATCACTGTTAAGGTTTAGAACAGGGGTCTTCAAACTTGGCCCTTTTATGACTTGTGGACTTCAACTCCCAGAATTCCTCAGCCACCGTGCCTGGCTGAGGAATTCTGGGAGTTGAAGCTAGCTGAGGAATTCTGGGAGTTGAAGTCCACAAGTCATAAAAGGGCCAAGTTTGAAGACCCCTGGCATAGAACCTTAACCACTGCCCACTAGTTGGTGCCTAGCCAACTTTGGCTAAGCACGGTTGGGCCTGGTTAATATTTGGATGAGAGACTTCTAGGAAATAACAAGAGCGGAAAGTTAAAAACAAAATCCTGGAACAAAGCAATAGCAAATTATACCTTAATTTGGGCCACAAAATTGATATAGACTATATGATTGCAGCCAGCATTGCCTATGGGTGGTCCTCAACTTACAATCACAACGGGAGCTAGAATTTCCATTGATAAGCAGGGGGTTATTAAGTGAGTCATGCCCAATTTTATGATCTTTTTGGCCATGGTTGTTAAGCAAATCACTGCCGTTGTTTGCCACGGTCATTAAGCAAATCCAGTTTCCCCCATTGACTTTGCTTGTAGGAAGCACTGAGAAGGTCCAGAGCCAAAGAAGGCAAATCCTTAAGAATGTCATCGCTGCTCCATTTATTAGAGTCTGCTAGACTCTAAGTAGGCTTACCGGTGACTCAGTATTGTCCGAGCCAAGATGATTGGATTCAATCAATAAGCACAGGTTAAGAAACCACGGGTTAGCATTCTGGGCAGATGTACTGTAGTTTCCTGGTAGCTCTCCATAATAACAAAACAGCACTATTCACCATCAGCAAGATTGGCAAGATTTCTAGGATGATTGTATTGGTCTTGGATCATCATTTTCCAGCCAAGATTGAAAGCTACTCTTCTCGTATTTTGTCTTTAATATGTCCCCTTGAAAATTTAAAAAAGAAGAATCCAGGGGTTCGGTCAAGACTGACCCCCACCTTAGACAGGGTTGATGAAAAATGTCCCGTCCACCATTCATTCCTGAAACTATTTAATTCAACAGTTGAAAATGAGTTTGGTACAGAGGGGGAGCATTTAGAGAGACAACGGGTGAGAGAGTTTATTAACAAGAGTTTGGACAACACAATGTTTTCAACGTCACCGCCATCACCACCCCACAAAGACTCTTGTAGCGCGTCCCCAACAAAACTGGTTCTATTTGGAGAAAGAGATTCCCGTGTTCGGACGGAAACGGGAAGCAAGCTCTCGAAGAAATATTATGGAAGACAGAAGTCTTTTATTTTCAATAATTTTGCTTCCAACTTGGGACCCCGTCTTTGCGACACCCCACAGTTTTGAAGCCATCTTCCTAGTCCACCTTCTCTTCCAGTTGGGCTTTCATGAAAAACTCAGGGTTGCGGACACAGCGATATGCAAACAGCTGGGGGAGGACTGCATGGATCACGTTGAGAAGGAGAAACCACATCTTCCCTTCATCGGGGACTCTGTAGATGTACGGCGTTCTGGCATGTATGGAAGCGCCAATGTGTGAGAACTGAGCCTGGAAAGCAGAAGGAATGAATTGTGAGTGGAATCAGTGTTAACAGTCCCCATAATCACTGGATGCATTGGCACGCTTGCTTCAGCCAGAGACCCCTCACCCATCGCTCTTGAAAGTCCCTGTGTTCTGGCTTTTTAATGGGATTTTTTAATGGGACTCCACCCCCCACTTCTTTGTTCTGGACCCATGCATTTTGGGGGACTGGGCTGTATGGCAACCCTCCAACATGCATCCCCTTATCTCAAAATCATCATGTGTGCCCTTTCCAAGACACAATCCCCTTCGGTGGCTTGTAGATTTGCATCTTGGGCAAACCCAGCTCATAAAACATTCATTGATCATAGGGCACGTTCACAGCATGTTTCGATTAAAAAAAAATACAAGAGATAAAAACATAAAATATGAAACACAAAATTAAAATATTACAAACATGGGTCTAGATTACAGATATAATTTTTTTTGCTTCATTTGTCACAACCAGGAAATCAATTTAATGGAAACACTGAAGCTAACCAACCGTGGCTTAGTCAACCAGCTAGCCCCATTAAGGAAACCATTAAGTTGGGCTTAACCACCAAACCAAACCAAAGGGAAGCAACCCATATTACGGCTAATTCAATATGCGTCCCCTTTCCATTAACTTGCTTCTTATTTTAAGCACAGCATCAATCAAGCTTGGTACATAATAAGAGTATCCTGTTATTCTGATTTGAGAACCAGAATGTTCTGGAGAGGATCTATGTCTCTGTGTCAGCTCCTGGCATAGAATCAGGACATCCACTAGAGTTTTCCTGCTTTGAGCTTTGACACAATGGCATGTAGTGTTTCCCAAGCACTCGGGACCTCATCTGCTCAAAGGTGAAAAAAATGGAGTAATTTGCTGTTTCCTTTGCTAAGAGCAAAACTTTGGATAGTTTCAGTTTGCTTCGTCTTTAGAGAAGAAGGTGTTGCTTCTTCTCCGATTGGGCTTTCTGGAACATACCGTAAATTTACATCTAAGGTTATGTGCAAGAGCAGAAGTCTGCCAAGCCAAAGAATATTTTTAGCATAAGCAAACATGTAAAGATAGAAGCAACTGGGACAGCTCAGGACTGTGTTTTGTCCTTTGTCTTTCATCCGTCATCCCCTGTTTCAAGCGGTGATTTATTTGTGTATTAGCAATGGTGATGATTGACCTGAATTTATGATCCTTGACTGTGGTCTACAGAGAAAGGGCTGACCAGGTCATGCTCCAGACAACTTGAGCTTTTATGGGCAAGGTGGGCTAGGGCTGATCGGTGGAGAGGTCCAAATATTAGTCTGTATCCTACGATAAGAGGACAGAGAAGGATGGTAGGATGAGGAAATATCTCCAGTGGCAACAGTAGTTCTGTCTGTGTGGTAACAGCATCTGCGATACGAGGAAGATGCTGTATATCTCCATGTTTAAGCTGAGCAGCCATGGAAGATTTCCTGCTATTGGAAAAACGTAGCACAGCATCTTCTTGATGGTGGCTCCACAATGGTGAAAGTTGTCCCCAAGAAAATCTGCCAGCTATCCTGTTTCATCAATTTAGGCAAACATTGAAAACTAAGGAGGTTTGTTCTTTCTTTTTTAAACTGTTTTTTTTTAATGCGACTGTATTGTTGGGTTTGAAACTTGAGCTTTTTCCCTGCCATTAACCACCTTGGGCAATTTTTTAGTATTTGATGAGATAAAGAAGTAAATAATCTACTAACTCTTCTTTTGAGCAAGAATCAGATGTAAGCATCTCTTCCCCATGACAAACCCAGAGAATCAGAATCCTAGATATTAAAGAATACAAGGCCAGAAAACTTCTTGATACGGTAGTAGTAGTAGTAGTAGTAGTAGTAGTAGTAGTAGTAGTAGTAGTAATAATAATAATAATAATAATAATAATAATAATAATAATAATAATAATAATAATAATAATAATAATAATAAAGTTGGAAGGGACCTTGGAGGTCATCTAGTCCAACCCCCTGCTCAGGCAGGAAACTCTATACCATTTCGGACAAATGGCTGTCCAGTCTCTTCTTAAAAACTTCCAGTGTTGGAGGCATTCACCGCTTCTGGAGGCAGGTTGTTCCACTGGTTAATTGTTCTAACTGTCAGGAAGTTTCTCCTTAGTTCTAGGTTGCTTCTCTCCTTGATCAGTTTCCACCCATTGCTTCTCGTCCTGCCTTCAGGCGCTTTGGAAAATAGCTTGACTCCCTCTTCTTTGTGGCAGCCCCTGAGATATTGGAAGGCTGCTATCCTGTCTCCCCTCGTCCTTCTCTTCATTAAACTAGACATACCCAATTCCAGCAACCGTTCCTTATATGTTTTAGCCTCCAGTCCCCTGATCATCTTTGTTGCTCTTCTCTGCACTCTTTCTAGAGTCTCAACATCTTTTTTTACATCGTGGTGACCAAAACTGGATGCAGTATTCCAAGTGTGGCCTTACCAAGGCCTTGTAAAGTGGTATTAACACTTCACGTGATCTTGATTCTATCCCTCTGTTAATGCACCCCAGCACTGTGTTGGCTTTTTTGGCAGCTGCAACACACGGCTGCAATCTTTCTGTCTTTAGCCTCTTTGCAAACTCTTCATCCACTGAATAATAGATACTGGGTGGGGCTCTTAGTACGGTGATATCTCCAGTGGCAACAGTAGTTCTGTCTGGGTAGTAACCGCATTCAGATTGCCCCGTGTGCAAACAACAGCAAAAGAAATTGAATAGGTAGCTTTATCCTTTCTGAGCAGGGATTGAACAGTGGAGTTTATTATGTTAAGCTATGAGGCCTAGGTTGATACAGCATGCTAAATGAACCATCTTTATTTGATTAATACAGTTGCCTGAGTTCATCCAACTTAATTTAACCAGATATGAAGCGCACTGGCTGAGTCTGAACATGTCTGTGAGCCACAAATTAGCTAACCACTCATTTTAGGTTAGCAGGTTGGTCAAACCCAGCCTGTGTGGTTAACTTAGTTTTTGGCTTCAGCGTGTGAAGTTGGAGTTGGCGAACCCTTCTTAATGGCTTGGGTGGTATGTGAACTCAGACGGCGATGATGAGTTTATTCCACTGTTTATATATTTTGGCCAATTCAAAGCAGCAGATATGCCTAATGCTGTCTCCTTTTTCTTCTCTTTTCTCCACAAAACCTTATGAGGTGGTTTGGCTGAGAGAGAGGAAGACTGGCCCAAAGTCGACCAGTTAGTTTTCATGCCTAAGGGAGAAGGGAACCTAGAATTCACCATCTCCTAGTTTCTAGGCCAGCACCTTCACCATGGCGCCAAACTGTGCTCTACTCAGTAAACCATAGCTTAGGACTATCTAGGTTTTAGTTCATGGATCTCGCCCTCTTTTGAATGTAGAAGTAGTACAGAGGAAAACCATGCCTCCAATATGGGATCGTTAGAAATGTTCTGGTCTTACCTGGGCTAGTCCTCCAGCATGAATAAGAGTTAAATCGGGCATCCAGGAACATCCAGGTACAAGCAGACCATATACCGAAATTATGTAGTATGGCACCGAGTAGAACATGTAGGCTAACATCTGAATGTTAGAAGAGAAGAGAATTGATCTCTGCACCTTCAAAACAGCAGCCATCATTTGAACATAGAATAGAGTTGGAAGGGACCTTGGAGGTTTTCTAGTCCAGCCCGTGCTGGAGAAGGAGACCCTAATCATTTTAGACAAATGGTCATCCAGTCTCTTTTGGAAAGCCTTCAGTGATGGAGCATCCATAATTTCTGAAGGCAAGCTATTCCATTGGTTGATTGCTCTCATCATTAAGCAATTTCTCCTTAGTTCTAGGTTGCTTCTCTCCTTGGTTAGTTTCCAACCATTGTTTCTTGTCTTGCCTTTTGGGGCCTTGGAAAATAATTTAACCCGCCCCCATCTTTGTAGGAGCCCCTCAAATATTGGAACAGTATTATCATGTTTCCCCTAGTCCTTCTTTTCCTTAGACTAGACATACCCAATTCCTATAAACCATTCTTCCCATGTTTTAGCCTTCAGTCCCTTAATCAAAATTTATGTGTGAAGGTCTGGTCTCCTTGTACAATTTTGTAAATGAGGCAGAGTGGTGGTTAGTGCTGTGTTTAAACCAGACTGCGGTAAGCTAAGCCATAAATTATGGTTTATGAACCATAATAGTTGGGTACACATACATTGTCAAGTCATAGTTGATATTTTTAATTGATGCAAAATATAAACCCTGCAACTGTATTAAGGGGCTTAAAAAATGCAGCCTAAATGTTGTACAAAGTCAAATAATAAGTTCTTAGTCTAAAAATGTTGACAATTAGCATGATTTCTCCAGTCATGCCTCACATCTCAGGCTAAACCATGCCTGCTGAAGAAACTCTCTTTGTTGGGTTCATATGCATGCATACAGTAATCTCCAGTTTCCAATCCCAATATTTAAATTCACACAGAACTCTAATCCATAACCTTATCCACTCAATTCTGGCTCAGGGTCATAAATTAAAAGTAATCATTCCGGGTCCTCGAAATGTGTGAGCGTAGCTACCAAAGGTTAGGTGTGCATCGCAATGCAACTGTCTCAGTTGGGTTACCTGAAGCTTTGGATAGGCAACAGGATCCTTGAGGTATGGCTCATGAAGTTGGCTGTAAAGTCGACACAGTTCGCCTGGACAGTCCAAAACAATCTAGAGAAAAATTGGAGCCATAATATTTGGATCATAATTTTGGTGCAATAAACTACAGGTTAGGAAATTGGTGTAAATCTTGTTCCAGCTGCCATCTTCCTAGGTAGGTAAGGGAGGAAGAGAGAAAGAACTTGGAACTGTAAGTGTCTGTTCTTAACCACACGGATGTGATGACAAAGCATGTGTCGAGCACAGGGGAAATCGGGAGATTCAAATGAGTATAAAGATGTATTGCAAGCTTAAGCTCTCTACAAAAATCTGAGCTACTAACAGTCAAGAGAAATGAGCGGGAATTAAGAAAAAATTCAAGGTGAGCTGGACTTTTGGGCATGCACGGACTCGTGACTTATGATGCATTTGACCCCTCCCTCGGGTTTAGCCTGGTCACCTCCTACAACGTGCAGAGTTACAAAACATGCATTGTGACCTTATGTGACACATCCCACCCTTCTGGACTTGCAATGCATGCATGGATTCGTGACTTATGATGCATTTGACCCCGCCCTCGGTTTTAGCCTGGTCACCTCCTACAGCATGCAAAGTTACAAAACATGCATTGTGACCTTATGTGACACATCCCACCCTTCTGGACTTGTAATGCAGCATTGCACACCAATTCATAAACCTTATCACACCTGCCCACCCTCCCCCCATGGATGTGTATGTCCGGATGCTCACCTTTCCTGCCCCCATGTTAAAGTTTAAACATAGAAGCAAACTTAAATGCTTTTCAATTCAAATTTAATGCTTTGCGCAAAGTGTACAGTATATAGCACACACCTCATGTTATAAGATTCCGGTCTCTTTATTCTATTCTTAAAAAGAAAAGAAAGAAAGAAAGAAACTTACCATGCCCCTGAAGAGGCAAAATCCAGTTGCCAAAATGAAATACGAAGCCAAGAGAAAGTCAGTCGGTCTTCTCAGAAGATTTTGCTTCTGAACTTCTTTAATGATCTGCAACGGGGAGGGAAGCCCTGTTAGAAGTCTGCGCCCAAAGCAGCAAAGGGCTGTGTGGCATCACTGCAAAACAATGTACTTTGTACCATATGCCAGATGTCTTTTAGGAGGCGCCTTGCCTCTGCAATTTAACAGTTTGATTTTTCAAGCAGGTCCAAAGTGTCAAAACAGTTTGGGAAACAATGCACAGACTTAATTCATGCCGCCTGCCAAAAATCGTGTGGTCGGCTGAGTTTGGGCTGCAGTGCCCTAGGAGGCCTCAGCCATTAGCTTTCCGATCCATGATTTATGGTTTAGCGTGACCTATCCACCCAGCCAAATGTTATAATTTTAACAATGGTGCAAACCTCTCCAATTATACCTAATTCCATAATTCAGAGGGAAGCAAACTACGGCTTAGCATGTTTCAGCGTCTTTTTGTCCCCGGTCCCACCAAAACAAAACAAAAAACAAAAACCCTGGAAGAAAAATATATCTCAAGAAACAGAAAACCCGTTTCCTGACTGGGTCTGGAGTACAAACGGTTTTGGAGTCGAGCCAACTGAAGCAATTGCACTGCCATTTACTGCAGCTCTTACAAAAACAAGAGCCGGCAAAAAGCAGAAGGAGAACCCACAAGTAGCAGCATGCATTGCTTTCTGTGGAAAAGATTTAGCCTTGTTAGGTTGTTTGAGGAAGGCTTCTTCAACGGGGGGGGGGGGGGAGCAGAGCTGGAAACCAAAGTATGTTTAATGGTAGACTTTCTTTGCCACTTCCTCTTCCCTTCAAAACAAAACCAATATTTATATTTCCCCCTAAGGCGAGATGTTGGTGATGCCCAGAATGTTTCCCTCTATACAGGTAGTCCTTGACTTACGACCGTAATTGAGCCCAAAATTCCTGTTGCTAAGTGAGATGTTTGTTAAGTGAGCTTGGCCCCATTTTACAGCCTTCCTTGCCTCAGTTGTTAAGCGAATCACTGCAGTTGTTCGGTTAGCAACACGGTTGTTAAGTGAATCTGGCTTCCCCGCTGATTTTGCTTGTCAGGAAGTCGCCAAAGGGGAACACGTGACCCTGGGACCCACTGCGACGGTCATAAATATGAGCCAGTTGCCAAGCGTCTTAATTTTGATCACGTGACCCCAGGGAGGCTGCCCCAGTCATAAATGTGAAGAAAGGTGGTAAGTCACTTTTTTGGTCGTAAGTCACCTGTATTGAGGTTTAGGAGAACGTTTTTTGATGGCTTTTTTCAGTACTGTCGTAACTCGGAATGAACTATTCCCCAAAGGTGCTTTTTCAAAAGGCAACTGGGTTTTCTTTGGGTTGATTTTTTTTGGAAGACATTTCGCTTCTCATTCAAGAAGCTTCTTCAGTTCTGACTCGGAACTGAAGAAACTTCTTGGATGAGAAGCAAAACGTCTTCAAGTTTAATGAAGAGAAGGACGAGGGGGGACATGATAGCAGTCTTCCAATATCTCAGGGGCTGCCACAAAGAAGAGGGAGTCAAGCTATTTTCCAAAGCTCCTGAAGGCAGGACAAGAAGCAATGGATGGAGAAACTAATCAAGGAAAGAAGCAACCTGGAACTAAGAAGGAATTTCCTGACATTTAGAACAATTAACCAGTGGAACAACCTGCCTCCAGAAGCCATGAGTGCTCCAACATTGGATGTTTTTAAGAAGAGACTGGACAGCCATTTGTCTGAAATGGTATAGGGTTTCCTACCTGAGCAGGGGGTTGGACTTGATGACCTCCAAGGTCCCTTCTAACTTTATTAAAGTTGCCTTTTGAAAAAACACCTTTGGGACAGCCATGACCGGAATGACTGAGAATCTCCACAGACACTAAACAAACTGTTGTAAGTCAAGGACATGGCAGGATTCTGTGCATGCTGAGTTAAGCAGAAAAATGTCTTCATTTAGGATGAAATGACGTGTTCCAGGCCTTCGGAGCAGCGATGTGAATTGTTTGGTTTTGGCTGAGCGCAAGGCGAACCCAGCCACGGTTCACGCAAATTGGGTGCCGCTTAAGAAGGAGCCTGGCAAGTCACAACGACACGTTCAGAAAAAGGGGAATCGGATGATCGAGAGACTCTTAATTCTTTTGAAGTTCAAGCCTTTTTCCTCCTTTTCATAACAACAATAATAACAAGAAGAATACCTTTGTTGGGAAATAGTCATCCGCTGGTGGTTGATTATAGATTTTGAAGCCAGCCCATAGTGGGAGACAAATATACGGCACACTTAACAAAGATACAGGACACACTCTTGTTCCATATTTTCCTATTCGGCAACAGGGAAAACATGAATGAAGGATTGTTAATGGCAGGTTGAGCAGAGCAATCTTTTGCATGCCTATTCAGATGAAAATCACAACAAACTCAGTGCAGTTTACTGCTCTTGTTTGCATGACAACGTTAGCTGGGTTATTTGAATCCTGGTTTATTCAGGTATCCCATTTTCAAAGTTTCACACAGTGCATTCAGACATGAGATAAGGTCCCTGGCTGGGCTCACATATCAGACTAGCTTGCAACAATATTCTCTTATCATGAAGACACAGCCAATTTCATGCAAATGTGCCTAATCTCCAGATGTTCTGTCTGGGAACTGTAGCAGTTCTATTCAAGCACATCTGGAGGGAGCTAAGCATCCTTTAACTGGATGATCACCAGATGTGTTAGGCGACAACTCTCAAAATTCGCAACCAACATGACCAACTCCATACTGGTTGATATTTATTCCAAGAAATGGAGACAAAATGAAGAAGGAATGCAAACATTCTCCTTTGTTTTTGTTTTTTTAAAAATTTTCCTCCAGGAGGTGCCAAATATAAATCTGAGCATATTCCAGGTTACAGGATAAAATGCTAGGACACAATTTACTTTCACTTTACTAAATTGTGACTTATTATTTGTTTTTTTAGTTCAACTGCAGGGGTAGAGTCTCCTTCCAGTAGGGTTCAACTCCTGGTGACTTCATGCAGTTTTCTTGGAACATAACAAAAGGGATTAACCACTGCTTTGTTGCACACAGAATGACACAACTGACCGCAGCCAACTTGCCACAGTTGGGACTCACTGTGGGACAATCAGCATGGTCAACTCACCATGAGACAACTCCTGCAGGACAATTCAACAATTCAATTTAATTATTTAAAAAAATATTTTAATTTTTGTCATTCATATTTCATGTTGTCCCTCCTTTGGCATCTTTTCTTTGATGATTCTATTCCACTGTTTCTTCGATATTAGTGTAACTCTTCTCCCATGGTGAGTTGTCCCATGCCAAGGCAAGTTGGTTGTGGCGAGTTGTCGTAGACCGGTTGCAGGATGCATTTTTTACTTTCCAGCTAGTGTGCAATTCTAGCTTAGCCAATCTCCCATCGCAGCAGAAAACATACCTTGTGCTGCTTGGCTTTTGAGATTGGCCAAAGTTAGTAAGATGCTCTCAATCTGCTGTAGGATACTATATATAATATGCATTTCATTGGTAACCACTGATCTCGTTGCCTTGAAAATTCAAGACTCTAAAAAGAAGTCAATTATTAAAGTCCCAAAGCAAAGTGTATTCTTAATGTTTCCTTACCCACAATGTTTCCAGGGATAAAGACAATTATGCTCATTGTGATGGATCCCAGCCAGTACAAGCCAATCATCCGATAATTTTCCCTGCCAGAGAAAAATAGAAAACCTTGCTTTCAGATACCGTTGTGATGCATGTTCTCTTACTGGAGGTACATTCAGACAAACAATATGTGCCTATATATTTATAGTCGCTGAATGTACTACTTTCACTAAATAAGTGGGTAATCGCATTGCATTGGCTTAAAACATAAATAGGACCATTTTTTAAATATTCAGCCTTACTGGCTCAAGAGCGCTTCCTGACACTGATGTCCCATAACAACTCAATCATTTTATATGCTGGATCTTTGTTCTTTTCTGCTCTTTATCATTGTTGTCATTATTTAATTTGAGGAGGGTTTTCTTCTGAGTAAAGAAATCGGTATTTATTTCCCGTCTGCTGTTAAGGCAGCACATAGAAGTTTTGGAAAGGAAGGCATGAAAACAACCCAACAGTCGCCCCTGAATGTTAGGCATAGCCCCCACAAATGTCATGCTTAGCCCCCCAAAGTCATGCTTAGCCTCCCCAAATGTCATGCTTACCCCCAAAGTCATGCTTAGCCCCCAAATGTCATGCTTAGTTCCCCCAAATGTCATGTTTACCCCCCAAAGTCATGCTTAGCCCCCAAATGTCATGCTTAGTTCCCCCAAATGTCATACTTAGCTCCCCCCAAATGCCGTGCTTAACCCCCCCAATGTCATGCTTACTTCCCCAGTCATACTTAGCTCCCCCAAATGTCATGTTTACCCCCCCCCAATTGTCATGCTTACGTACTCCCAGGCAATGGCAGCCACCATCAAGAGATACATCAGATAATGAACGGAACCATCCCAGTAGCAAATCATGTGGCCATAAGCCGTGTTCAGATAAGGTTCGCCCTGTGGAAATAAGCACACGAGTAACTGAGTGGCCGAGAAGATAAGGCCACCCAGCAGTTACAGCTGAAACAAAAAAGCTGTCTGGCGTTTTAACCCCCCCAGAGATAAAATGTGGCATCATGATAGCCTTGGTTGTCTTTGCAATGAATTTAATTCTCCCACAGAGTCTGATGGGTTTTTCTCCAACGGAAGAGAATATTTGTAGCTCCGGGTTGAACTGTGGGGGTCCCTGATGCTCCCTGATCTTGACTGTTTGCCTGCAGATGTTTCATTGCCCAAACAGGGCAATCAATGAACTACCAGCTAGGACAAACAATTAAACAATAAACGACAGCCTAATCAAGGAACCGCCAAGAACACTCCCAGTAATACTGACAGGGGAAGCCACGAGGACGGGATCTCAGTCTTTTCTTCACCCTGGACATCTTTCAAATACCATTTTTGGCCAGGGACCACAGCCACAGACCCCCAAGACTTAAATCAAGATTTAAGTCTTCAAGCCTTTGCGGAACCCCTGTGATGACACTGCATCGCTCCACGATATACTAGTGCTAGTATATAGTATATACTACTATACTATATACTAGTGCAGTGGTTCTCAACCTGTGGTCCATTGACCCCTGGGAGTAAACCTCACTCCCTTCTAGTGCTTCTACTCCCAAGTCATTCTCCACTTATCTTTATTCAATGCTCATGAAGTTTAGCTTTCCTGAATTTGCATAACACCTGGAGTAATATGCAAATCCAGCTTGGTTTAATCTAGTAGACTAAAAAGTGGTTTGGCAAGTTTAGCATTCAATCTGTCATGTGTGGTGCAGATTTTATTTTATTTTATTTTTAAAAAAAAGCTAATTCCAATTTTAAATCTCCATGTAAAGCTTGTTCAAAGCCATCAAGACCTGATAAGCATTCTATCCACGGGCTAAATTGTGGTTAACAACCGAATAACTCAGCGTTGTCAGCATGCTCAATTGTAAACATTGGATCACACAATGCTCTGAGACACAAACTAGTTTTGGGTCTCAGTGTTAATAGCACTTTATAACACCTTGGTAAGGCCACACTTGGAATACTGCATCCAGTTTTGGTCACCATGATGTAAAAAAAAAAAAATGTTGAGACTCTAGAAAGAGTGCAGAGAAGAGCAACAAAAATGATTAGGGGACTGGAGGCTAAAACATATAAGGAACGGTTGCTGGAATTGGGTCTGTCTAGTTTAATGAAGAGAAGGATGGGGGGGGACATGATAGCAGTCTTTCCAATACCTCAGGGGCTGCCCCAAAGAAGAGGGAGTCAAGCTATTCTCCAAAGCACCTGAAGGCAGGACAAGAAGCAACGGATGGAAACTAATGAAGGAGAGAAGCAACTTAGAACTAAGGAGAAACTTCCTGACAGTGAGAACAATTAATCAGTGGAACAACCTGCCTCCAGAAGCGGTGAATGCTCCAACACTGGAAGTTTTTAAGAAGAGACTGGACAGCCATTTGTCTGAAATGGTATAGGGTTTCCTGCCTGAGCAGGGGGTTGGACTAGAAGACCTCCAAGGTCCCTTCCAACTCTTAGTAGTAGTTCCCCTTTTATCCGCATATGAATCCAGCTGCAGGTAGTCGTCAACTTATAACAGTTCATTTAGTGACCATTTAAAGTTACAACAGCACTGAAAAAAATGAGACATAACCATTTTTCACACTTACGACCATTGCGGTATCCCCATGGTCACATGATCAAAACATGGCAACGGACTCGTATTTATGATGGTTGCACTGTCCCGGGATCATGTGATCCTCTTTTGCAATCTTCTGACAAGCAAAGTCCATGGGGAAGCCAGATTCACTTAACAACCATGTTACTAATTTAATATCTGCAATGATTCACTTCACAACTGTGACTGTGTCATAAAAAGGGGCCAAAGTCACTTTACCGCCGTCTCACTTAGCCACAGAAATTTTGGGCTCAGTTGTGGTCCTAAGTTGAGGACTACATATACTTCCTTATAATTGAATTTAACTGCCAAGGTGACGGTGAGGAAGAAATATATTCTCTTGTTTGTACCTGAAGAATCATTCAGATCAATTTGGCGGGAAACCAGTTAAGAACAGAAATGAATACAAACAAAATGAAGCTTGCTGCTAGCCCTCAACAAATTGTATCTGGAGGCTGTGCGCTGCTCCGAATGAAATGTAAGAACATTGTTATTCAATTCATGTACTATCACCTTTGGACAAAGTCTGTGCAAAGGCAGGAAATAGCTGTGTCGGTGATGGATTTTGACCTTTCGTGACTCACAAGGTCACTGCAGCATCGCACACGTCCAGCTTGAAAGCCTCAAACATACAAGCAAGGAAGGGGATCACAAAATCAGAGGGATGTGCAAACAGCAGGTGATCCATTCATGGCTTTAATGGATTTAAGATCACACACACACACACACACAAAAGATGAGTTGTGCACTTTCTGCTCTCTTCAAACGAAAGGTAAATCATAGAAGTCCATTGTTCCTTCCAGAAACCCTCTCCAATAACTCAAGCCTGCAATTCTGAGAATCTGCAGCTTTGCAGAGGTTGCGGTTTACTTCCTGATCATAAAATTCTCAGCATCCGCTGGCCAGCCTCCAGCACACCAGAATTCAGAATGCAGAAGTGAACAATCCTTTGAAAGCACTGCACTAAACTTCACTGCTTTCCACTCAAGTATTCCAGGAGAAAATAGCAATAGCAATAGCACTTTAGACTTGTATATCGCTCCGTCGCGTTTTACAGCTCTCTCTAAGCGGTTTACAGAGTCAGCCTATTGCCCCCAACAATCTGGGTATTCATTTTACTGACCTCGGAAGGATGGAAGGCTGAGTCAGCCTTGAGCCGGTAAGGATCGAACTGCTGGCAGTTGGCAGAGTTATGGAAAGAAGGAAGGAAGGAAGGAAGGAAGGAAGGAAGGAAGGAAGGAAGGAAAGGGCAATAGCAACAGCACTTAGACTTATATACTGCTTCACAGTGCTTTACAGCCCTCTCTAAGCGGTTTACAGAGTCAGCATATTGCCCCCAACAATCTGGCTCCTCATTTTACCGACCTCGGGAAGGGTGGAAAGCCGAGTCAACCTTGAACCCCGTCAGGATCGAACTCCTGGCAGTGGGCAGAGTCAGTCTGCAATCCTGCATTCCTAACCACCGCGTCACCGGGGCTCCCAGCTGCCTACCCACTTCCTCCACCCCTAATGAGCCATGATTACCTATTTACCTCTTTCAAGTAATAAGTCATGAATCCATCGATTATCCCATCGTGTTCTAGCCCAATAATTAGATTGACGATGCTGGTGAAAGCGAACACCGCGTAAACTGCAGCAAAACCAGAGAAGAAGGAGGAGGAGGAGGGGAAAAAAAGCACTTTTTAATTATCATTGCACAAGTCATTTTTTTATGCAACGGTCTGGCCCCGTTCACAGATGTTCTTTTACAGATGTTCAGATGTCATCAACCCCATCCTCTATTTGCAGCCCTCTTGTTTTCACCTATCTTTGGGATAGGGCAATGGTGGCGAACCTATGGCACGGGTGCCAGAGGTGGCACTCAGAGCCCTCGTGCTGTGGCCCCAGTCCTAGGCCTTCAGCTGGGTTTTATGAAACCTTTTCGCTTTAGGCCTCCGCTGCCGTGTGCAAAAAAAACACAAAGGTTCAATCAGTCGATTTCAACTTCTCGTGGGAAAAAAAAAGATCTTGCAAAGTTGGAATTGATTGATTGAACTTTTTAGTCCCACCCAGTCTGCCATTACCACTGCAGCCACGCCCACCCAATTGGCCACATCCACCCAATGGGCCACACCCACCCAATGGCCCACACCCACCCGGCACTCGATGATGCTTAAGTGGGTTTTGGGTTGCAGTTTGGGCACTCAGTCTCTAAAAGGTTCGCCATCACTGGGATAGGAAGTGGAGATGCAAATGGAAAAATGGAATAAAAGCTTTTGCTACCGACTGAGCTGTGAAAAGCAGCCTCCGGTTAAGCCAGAATTATTTTTATTATCATTGTTACAATTATAGCCACAAGATGCTTCATGCTAAAACATGGGTGAGATTGCAAATCACACTCAGTCAAAAATAAAGGAGCTGCATTGTGGTTTAGTGCAGGCCACTGTCTAAATCTCAGACTTACCCCAACGTGTTCTTATGTCAGGAAACCTTAATTTCTTAGATCAATAATTAATCATACACACCACAGTTGTCTTTGCACAATACATTAAACCGGATCTAGACACGGTCTCAAGAATTTCATTCATTACATTGTGCAAATTCAGAAAACGAATGAATGAATTCAGTCCTGTGCATTGTAAAAACTAATACTAACCAGCCACTAAAGCATAGTGTTGGATTTTGGCTTAACGTTAGTTGGCATTCAGGCAAATTCAGCCAACTGCAGTTAGTACAATGAACTGTAGTTAAACTATGGTTTATTGCCGTGGGATTTGAATGATAGATTAGCCAGCTCCGGTTTACTTTTTCCACACCACACCAATACGTACCATAGAAAAGTGGATCGCTTGGGGGTCTCCTTTTCACCAGAAATCGAGCTGCCAAGCCCACTAAGAGCAGAATCAACAATCCAGCTACTACAATGACCCAAGAGCTACAGGAAATAAAAAGAAAAGTGAGAAACCAAAAGAGGGGGGGGAGAGAAATAGAGTTTAACATGTTTTCCTTCACTTCCTCAAATAAAACCACAGGAAAACAGAAATGCTGATTTCAACCAGTGCTTTTCTTCCCTTCCAATTATGTACTTCAGAGCATCCCAACATACACAGGAAATCATTACTGAGAGCTCCGTGGTGGAAAATCTGGAAGGGTGAATAATTTTCCCTGCAAGACCAAGCTTGCCGATCTTTTGGCAGTGCAGAACTGGATTGTAAGAAGCCTCCGATATTTATCACAAGAACCACAACAAATAATGAGAATTGCCTTTTCTTTGACAAATGCAGCTTGGCCTCCTGCGAGTCAGTGGTTAGAGGAACTGTGAAGCTTCAGAGGGGAGTGTAACTTGCCAATCACTTCCTTTCCCTCCTCAAAATATTAATACCAGCAAAGAAGAAGGCCCAAGCCGCAAAAACACCGCTGTTAGATTTTTGTCGTATTTCGCTGGCTTCGTTAAGACGGAGGAGGGGTCAGGTTTGAGAAGACAACTGCAGTTTCATGAGATGCTCCAACAGATAGCTGGACTTCTTTGGACCAAGCTAGTTGTGTTTCTGGTATGCTCCCACTCAGCCAAAGATCTGGTTTGCCTGATACTCCAAGATCCATATTCCAGATGCAGGAAACGTGCAAATTTAAAGAGTTTAATAAGTGGCCAACGTGTGAAATTGCAGACAGGACACAAAGACTTTTAGGGCAGAGGGAAATCAAAAAGAGGGTGTTTTTTTTTCCTGCCCAGCTGGTGTAAATTATCTTGGGATGGAGCCTGATTGAGATCTGTATTATCTATCAGATGGTGGGGGAGAGGACCAACATCTTGTTTGGAGGCAGATTTTAGGAATTTCCTTATAATAAGAGCTGTCAGCCAGCGGAATAGCCCAACTCCTTAAAAAGGTGTTTTCCTGGTCACTCCATCTCCTTAAACAGAATTCAGCAGCAGTTGGACTAAATGACCTCTCAGGTCTCTTCCAACTATGATTGTGTGATAATAACACCGGGAACCCAGCCATAAATCAGGTCTACCCAAATGGTGATTTGGTGTGGCAAACGAACCCTGTAGGTACATTAAGACAGCTACATTTGTCGTAGCTATTAACCAAACTTTGGTTCCTGCAGCACAGTTCACTTCCCCTACTGACTGCAGTGTGGAGGATGAAAGCAGATGAGCTGACTGTTGCCTTTTGTGTTCCTGAGCGTTTTAGCATCCTTCAGTTGCAAACTGCTGCTGATGTCCTTGGAGGGAGCAAGCAAAGGGCAACAACGAGGAAGAAGAAAAATGGAGAATCAACAGCTGAAGCACTCTGACTATTAGCTTTGGCTAGAAGATCTGTGGAATAATGGTTAAAGGGCTGCGCTATAAATAGGGAGACAGCCATCGTGGTGCATGGTATGGTGTAGTGATCAAAGTATCAGGCCAGAAATCAAGAAACTGGGTATTCTAGTTCCACCTGAGGCACAAAGCCAGCTAGGTGACCTGGGGTCAATCCCTCTCTCTCAGCCCTAGGCAAGCCACTTCCAAAAAGCCTCCCAAGAAAACTGCCAAGATTAATCCAGACAGCCCCCAGGAGCCAAGACTGATCCAAAGGCAAAGATATTCACTTGAGGGCCAGTTTGGTGCAGTGGTTAAGACATCCGGGCTACAAACCAGGAGGCTGTGAGTTCTAGTCTTGCCTTAGGCACAAAGCCAGGTGGGTGACCTTGGGCCGGTCCCTCTCTCTGCGCCCTAGGAAGGAGTTAATGGCAAACCACTTCTGAAATCTTGCCAAGAAAACTGCAGGGACTGATCCAAGGGGGTCAACCAAGAGGCAAAAATTAACACAAACAAGCACACACATAAACCCACACACACACACAAAGAGGAGGGAGATTCACACTTTAGTCTCTCCTCTGCTATCCGTGCCCCAGTGAGCAAGCTGAAGGTAGTGCCTTTCGCTCCATTACTGGCATTTACATCGAGCAAATAAGTACGCTAAGTAATGTCCAGGGATGCTGATTCTGATTGAAAGTTGGTCTCTCTCTCTCTGTCTCTCTCTCTCTCTGTGTCTCTCTCTCTGTCTCTCTTTGCTGAGCTGGGGCACATGGGCTCTGAGGAGAGAGCATTTGCATTCGGGCCAAGCCTGCCACTTCTCTCTTGACAAATGAACCTCTGGCATTTCTTCTGGAGAAAGCAGCTGCTGGCTATTGTTGTGCCCCTTTCCACACCATGTCAGCGCAGGCAACAGCCAGCCAGAGGGCAGGGCGGCTTCTAAAAATACCAGCCCAGCTTATGCAAGTGACCAAAAGGCCCGGCTTCCTGCTCTTGTTCCTGGCCCGGCCCGGCTCTCCCCAGGGTACCTTCTTGGCCATCAGATCAACAACAGCCTGTTCAGCATGTTCCCCTTTTATATAACCTGAAACACAATCTGTGCAAACTCCAGGTATTGTTCCAGGGGCAAAGGACATCCAGCAGCAAGACAGCCAACTGGGTGCACAAAATGAGCAGAGATGCCTGCCCCAAGTCGGTGCCTTTCTGATTGCCAGACTGGGGAAGGCCACGAGTGTTTTCTGTGCAAGATTTATTATTATTAAACCAACTTATATGGTTGCCCAACTCACACAGGGATGACTTTGGGTGGCTGTACAACATTAAAGAATAGAATAGAATATGGAATGGAGAATAGAATAGAATAGAATAGAATAGAATAGAATAGAATAGAATAGAATAGAATAGAATAGAATAGAATAGAATAGAATATGGAATGTAGAATAGAATAGAATAGAATAGAATAGAATAGAATAGAATAGAAAGATTGTAGAATAGAATAGAATATAGAATAGAATAGAATAGACAGATTGTAGAATAGAATAGAATATAGAATAGAATAGAATAGAATAGACAGATTGTAGAATAGAATAGAATATAGAATAGAATAGAATAGAATAGAATAGAATATGGAATGTAGAATAGAACAGAATAGAATAGAGTAGAGTAGAGTAGAATAGAATAGAATAGACAGATTGTAGAATAGAATAGAATATAGAATAGAATAGAATAGAATAGAATAGAATAGAATAGAATAGAATAGAATCTTTGTTGTCACTTTAAATGTACACTAATCAGCCTACATTAAAATAAAATTGTGTTGCATTCAGCTCTAAAAAAAATACCATTATGCATATACCTCCCACCTCCCCCAAACACACACATACATATATGACACAGAGAAACATCACAGTCTAGTTCGAATGTATACAAAAATCCACAACGTAAAAATCTCTCCCTGTGGCAGCAGCAACACAATCAAATCAAATCTTTATTTGGTCACAGACCATCAAACGCAGGAGTCACAATTCGTTAAGATAAAAGGAAAAATGTAGTTATTCTAAAACATAACTAAAAGGGGTGAGAGTGAATACTATGGCGTACTCTGCAAATTACAGAACAGTGCTTGGCTGTGGTCAAGGATATTAAATCAGATTGATCTGATAATAACATCCACTCCACCCGATGACAGCAAGCAACATAATCAGCTCCATCTCCATTCGGGGACTCCAGGCCCTCTGATCAAAATCACATCTTTAGGCTTTTTGGAAAAGCAACAAGCTGGGGGCTAATCACACCTTGGGGCACGGGTGTCAAGCTCGCAACATCACGTGACGTGTCGTGACGTATCGCAACTTTTTTGCCATTGCCGGCAATGGGGTGGGCATGGTTTTGCTATGATGCATCTGGCCCACGGGCTGACAGTTTGACAGCCCTGCCTTGAGGGGGGACGATGTTCCATAAAGAAGGGGCCACCACTAAAAAAGCTCTTTCTGTGGTCCCACCAGATATATATCCCCAATAGATGGGACCTGCAACATATTCTGTCTTCAGTCCTGGTGAGCTGGATGGATATTTCCCTATTTGGCAGGAATTTCACAGCATGACCCCCATGCCTTCCTCTGACCCCTCATGCTAGGTCTATGGCCCTGTCAGTCTTGTTAGTGCAGTTTATTTATGACTTAAGAGGTGCTTTGTTTTGCCTTCCGCAAATGCAGGGATCTGATTCTTTTAATCAAGGATTAGGTAGCCCTAAACTCACCTGCTGTTCCCAGGCAATTTGATTGGGCGTGGCGGCACAGAATGTAAGCAACAGGGCAAGGCTGCTTTGTACACCTGGTTTATGACGGTTATGTGTGAACTGCGGCTATTTTTGGCTTGCTCGACGTTCCGCCTGTGAATTTATAAATTGGTCTGGTTCCAAAACTAGGCTGCCGTTTCTATCCTTGTGCTAAAGTGGTTACTTTGATTTGAATTCAGCCCTCTGGGCAAACTCAGCCGTGCTTCAGAGTCCACAGCAGTCTGGCCCAGCATGGCTAACCCGACAGGATGAATAAAAAAAATAATAATAATGACTTACATACGATTTGAAAAACCCGTGGGATTTAATATTCTCCCTTGTGGCATTTGGGGAAAGTTGCTGGAAGACAAACAGCTGATACCGTTCAATTTATTCAAGCCCCTCTCCCTCCCCTCAACCCAATATATACTTCAGCACACACACACACACACACACACACCCCACTCGTCCCTAAACAGACCTAGTCGAATCCAAGGTACTTTATTCTTAAGGCACCCTGCAGACGACAGCAGCCACACCGCTGGATCCCTGTTGACTCAGAAGCAGTGCCCGGCGAGTGCAAATGTAGCTTCCAGCAAGACCCCCTTGAATTCTCCCCACTCCTGCAAATCCCCCCCCACTCCTAGCCTTTGAGATGCATCTCTCCGGGCGGGCTGGGCGGCCAGAGAAACGGGGGCTGCCTCCAGACACCCGGAGAGCTTTTCCACCTGCGACGAAGCTCCGCTTTTTGCGCGCCCCTCTCCCACCGCCCTTGTCACTTCTGCGCCCTCTCTCCTCTTCTTCTTCTCCGCCGCCAGCCCCTTTCCCACCTGACGCCGGCCCCGCTTGGCACCGCGCAGGTGAGAAACGGTCCGCACCTGCCCCCCTTGCTCACCTGCCGGTGGCAGCCGAAGCGTTGAAGAGGTAGGTGATGGGGATGGCGCAGAGGGATAACACGAAGACGCCGGTGGCGGCCGCGGCGCTCATCCCAGCAGTTGGCCTGCTTCTGCTTCTGCTTCTTCCTCCTCCTCCTCCTCCTCCTTTGGCTTCGGCGACGGGCTCGGAGGGGTTAGACCGGCGGCATTCCGCTCCCAGCTCCGGCGCTGGGCTTCAGGGCTGCCTGGCCAGCTCCTCCATGCGTGTCCCGGGCTGGCCGACTCTGCAGGCGTGGGGAGGGTTCCCGCTTGGGTCTCCAGCCCTGCCGCCAAGCTGGTGCGCCCTTGCGCGCCGCTGGTGCCGCTGCTGGAGCGGAGAGGGCGCCCAAAGGCTCCCATGGCCAGAGAGACGCCGCCTCCCGCCGCCCGATCAGCTCAGGCAAAAGCGGGCGGATCTGTTAGGATCCCTCCTCCTCCTCCTCCTCCTCCGCCAGCCCGTCCAGCGGCTCTCTCTCTCTGGGCAGGAATGGCCACCTCTAGGCATCGGGGTACTGAGTCAGATCGTTGCGCAGCCAGCTTTGCGTGGAAGACCCAGGCTGGCCCCCAGATGCTGGGTTTAGGGATCTGGAGCAAAGCCCCCCCCCCCTGGAAATCCATCTCCTCCTCTTCCATCTTCTCACCTGCCCCATCTCACCCGAGGCCACTGGTTTGCTTCTCAGGTCCAATCCAGCTGTTGCCCAGAAGTGGGGGCTATCAGCGTTCCTTGTCCAGGAGAATGATAACAGCAAGGTGGAGCCAGGGTATGAGAGACACAATCTACTTTGAGGTCACTGACACTCCTTTAGGGAGCCCTGGCTGGGACAACCCTGGTTGATCTCAGAAAGCTCTGCAGGACCTGGTTAGCTCTTGGTGGGCCACTCAGAAACCCAGAACCACCCCAGAAGAAAGCAGGGGCAAACCGCTTCAGGACAGCTGCTCCAGAAACAGTGTAGACCTGTCCATCAAGTTCCCCAGGAGATAATCAAGCCAACAGAGGTCTTCCATTATTTTCCCTAGATAAATAAATCCAATCAGCATCACACGTTTTTTTTAATAAGATTTCAAAGCCATTTTGTTCCGATTCAAATTAAGAAATATGCATTGCTCCCACGGTCTGTAAATGAAGATGCTTCATCGGTATCCAAGGCTTGCCAACTTTTTATATACCGCCCTAGATGGGGAGGGACAGTGTTCCTGAAGTTAAAAATATCCTCTTTCTCCATCCAAGGGCTGTTTAGGCAGCCTTGATTTCAGCCCTCAGTATTCCCAACAAAGAGTCTTGCTGAACTGGAATTCTGTGGATTGTAATACTGTAGTACCTAGTACGGGTAGTTCTTGACTTACAAGTAGTCATTAAGTGATCATTCAAAGTTACAACAGCGTTGAAAAAAGTGACTTATGAGCATTTTTCACTAGAGTCCAGGGGTAGGCAACCTTGGCTCTTTTATGACTCGTGGACTTCAACTCCCAGAATTCCTGAGCCAGCCATGCTGAGGGGAAAGGGAGAGGGTTTCCAAGCTGAGCCATGCTGGCTCAGGAATTCTGGGAGTTGAAGTCCACAAGTCATAAAGAGCCAAGGTTGCCTACCCCTGCACTAGACCAGGGGTAGGCAACCTTGGCTCTTTTATGACTCATGGACTTCAACTCCCAGAATTCCTGAGCCAGCTATGCCTACCCCTGCACTAGACCATTGCAGGATCCCCCGTGGTCAGGTGATCAAAATCCAGACCCTTTGGCGACCGACTCATATTTATGACGGTTGCGGTGTCCCGGGGTGATGTGATCTTTTGCAACTTTCTGATAAGCAAAGTCAGAAGGGGTGGAGGGGTTATTATATTATTTTATTATTTTTCCCCTTGTTATTTTTTATTTTTTTTATAGGGTGTCTTTCTATTTATGTAAGCCGCCTTGAGTTGCCTGTGCGAGTAGGCAGCAATGCAAATTTTCCAAATAAGTAAAAATAAAAAGTCAAATGGGGAAGCCAGATTCCCCTAACAACCATGTTACTAACTTAACAAGTGTAGTGATTCACTTAACAACTGTGGCCAGAAAGGTTGTGAAATGGAACACAACTCACTTAACAATTGTCTTGCCTAGCTTGTCAGAAATGTTGAGCTCAATTGTGGTCGTAAGGACTACCTGTGATAGGATTTCTGTACATGTCAAACCCATCTTCAGGAAAACACTAGCATGGTCCATGGAGATTTGATTTTCTAAGAAGCTTTTTGGGCATTTCACTTGAGTAGCCCTTGAGTATTTATTTATCTTTGCTTCCTTTACTTGAGCTTATAGGCTCCTTCTATTGCAAATAAACTGGAGTTTTGGGAGGGAGGTGGAAGATAAATTCAATCTGCTGGTTAATGAGTGCAATAAAGGATAATTTGATTTGCAAATAAATGGATAGACCTTATCCTATCCCTTCCATTTGCATTTAACAATGTCATCAACACTTCCTGGTGACCTATTATTTCTATCCTCTCCACATCTGATTGTCATTCTCTCTTTCCTGCCTGTGATAGGCCTAAGTGATCCTGATGCAAAAGCAAATCCTGTTTCAAAAGCCATTTCCACAGCCTTTTAATGCCATCCAAGGTTAGCCTCAAAATTGAGTTTTTGTTCATTTTGTAGGGAGCCAGTGGCTGAGAACAGTGGCAATAGAGGCAGGACAGGAATCAGAAATGGAGATTACAATTTCCATTTTTATCCAATTTTCTTTTTCAGAAACCGATTTAGGCATAAACTAAACAAGATCAAGATCAGAGCCTTACACTTCAATGGGGTCGCTTAAAAGTTTGTTTGTTTTGGGTTTATTGTAATTTCACCTTGGAAAGCCTTCCTCTACTATATGAAGCTCTCCTATATGGCTCATTTGACATCACTGTGCCAACTATAGACTCTATGTCTTTTACATGATTACATCATGACATGCCCAACATCATTGTAGGTTTTTGCCATACATCTTGTGTGGACTTCTTTCTTTTTTCAGACCTGCCTGGCTGAGGAATTCTGGGAGTTGAAGTCCACAAGTCATAAAAGGGCCAAGTTTGAAGACCCCTGCTTCAGACCAATGGGCAATCTGCCAAGTGGGTGGGTCTGAAATCTTGATTCCAGCACATGGAGGCCAGACCTGCTTTTTTTTCCCCTTTACAGTCACGTGCCCCAAAGACAGCAGACAAAGATTTGAAGCTCAGTTCAACATTTCTCAGTAAACATGTACGTGCAACAATTCTGTGGTGTTGTCATGGTGCTAAACATTTGTCTCTTGAGTTGTTTGCAATAAATGATATGTGAAGTGTGGGATCTGCACTGTTTAGGTCAGGCTGAGGTCAAACTTAGTTAAAAATGTGTGTGGGAAGTATTTTTATATAGATAAAATCATGCTGCGATTGGAGAGCGAAAGCAAGCCAGGTA